CTACGGAATTTCTGAGTAACATTTTTTTGTTAGCACTACTCTAAAAACAATAACAGTACTCTATAGCAGTGGTCTTAAACTGGCAAAGTACATTACAATATTGTATACAAAATATTATTATTGAAATACATTACAATAATGCATTTCCTGCAGAGACTTCAAAATTTTAGTTATTAGAGTCCGAGGTTATATTATTTTCAATTCAATTAAAAACAAAATCTATAAATAGAGCTAATTAATTTACAACATCATATCATTATATTAGTATCATATATACTAATCACATAAGTTTCAAATTTAGAATAAAATATATGTATGTAAAATTAAAAAAAAAAAAAAAACAGTAAGAATGTTTCAGATTCTGTTTACTGAAGCAGGTTTTTATTATATAAACACAACTCTAGTATGCTACATATATGAGATCTTTTAAACATAAAACTGAAATTAAACCTTTTTTAATCAATCATTTGAGTCAATGAATGAGTCAAATGAAAGTGAGCCAACCCCTCCTCAGCAAGAATGGTTCGGTCCATCATCTGCGGCGCATGCGCGTATCACAGAGACAGCCTTCATTTATGAAAGTGGCGTGAAAGTGTGAGGTTAAAGTTCTTTAAGGCGCTCTTACACTGGATTGAAGACAGTAGCGTGACATAATGGACGCTCCAAAAGAGGAACAGCGTGGTGTGGTCAGGTTTTTGACAGCTGAAGGTGTTTCCCAACATGAAATTAGTCGCCGTATGACTGCTGTGTACGGTGAACATTGCATCGCATTAGCCACTGTGAAGCGTTGGAGCAAACGGTTCAGAGAAGGACGTGAAAGTTGCAAAGACGATCCAAGACCGGGCCAAAGCCACCTTGCAATCACCTCCGACACAATTGCACAGGTTGATGAGCTGATTAGACAAGAACAGAGGATAAGCATCGATGAACTGGCAGAGCGTGCGAACATCAGTCACGGTTCGGTTCACACCATAATTCATGACCGCCAGAAGACGGAGAGGTTCGGCGCTGCTTTGACTCATCTCATCCGGTATCAAAATGAGGGTGACAACTACTTGTCTGCAATTGTGACCGGAGACGAATCATGGTGCCACCACTACGAACCTGAAACACGCCGGCAAAGCTTACAGTGGAAACATTTGAATTCACCACCCCCGAAGAAAGCAAAGGTTGTCATTTCCTCGGGAAAGGTGCTATTGACTTTTTTTCGATCGTCAGGGGCCATTACTGATTGAATTGCTAACGTGGAGAGACTATCAATAGTTCGCGATATTGTGCAACGCTGGATCGGCTGCGTGTCGCAATCAAGAACAAACGACTGGAAGATTGACGAATGGTGTGATCTTGCTACACGACAATGCTTGTCCCACGTCGCTGATGTGGTTAAGACACAACTGGCAAAGTTCAAGTGGGAGACGCTGCAACATCCTCCAGACAGCCCAGATTTGTCACATGCGACTTTCACATTTTCGGGAAACTGAAAAAAAAACATCTCTAGGGTACCAGATCGTGTCGGACGCCGCCGTGAAGGAGTCGGTTACAGACTTTTGAATCGACAGCCCAAGGAGTTTATGACGGCGATCACGGGCTCATTTGTCAATGGGATAAATGTCTCAATGTTCATGGAGACTACCTTTAAATAAAGTATTCTGTTTGTCATATATTCACATTGGCTCACTTTCATTTGACTCGCCCTTATATATTGTTACATACACATAATTTTTATCTTAGCAACCTTAAGCTCAAGATCTAAGAAACAAGATTTAGCTTATAATGAATTCTAAACTATATATAAAAAAAAGTTTTATCAATATACAATGTGTCACACATATACATAAAATACAGGTACTTCTGACTACCTGCATCCCCTGTGAAAAAAAACATTCTCAAGACAAAGCAGTATGTTTCTTGAAAATGGTAAACATTCTATTACTGATGTTTCTTACTTTTTAAATTTTATTCTTAGTGGGCCATAATTTTGAAAATGGTTCGTGCCTTTGGCGAAAAGTTAGTCATTATTGAATTTCTGAATGCTTTCTAAAGTCACCAGCAAATTTACAACATTTTAGTGAGAGTGTGACTTTAGCTACAAGATTATAGATTAGTTTTTAAATATATATATTAAGTTGAAATTAAATCTTACTTTTATAACTATAAAAGATATGTTGATTTTAATAGCAAAGAATGCATGGCTAAAAACTTTAAATAATACTCCACAACATTTAAATGAATATCCCACAAGAATATTTAATGTTAAAATTACAAAAATTAACAAAGGTGGGAAAATTCATTTTAAATTTTTAAAAACTGCTTGATTTATAACTAAGTCCTTTTAAAATACAGAAAATTTTATTTCAGATATTTAACAATGGAAACAATTTCCCATTCTGCCTACAAATAATATGAATGCATCTAATGTTAAAATAACCCATATAACGTAACTTAAATCAGAATTTAGTGTCCAGTTTACTGCATAATTTTCAATACAGTTCTCAATTGCTTACTTTAATGAATTTAAACAGTAGTTATAAAAATTTTAATTTTGAAAGGAATTTTATATACATTACAGGTTTATTCTTATAATTACAGTTTACCTCATGATACATAACAGTATAAAGTTTCTAAATTTTTTACTTGCATTTAAAAAATGTTTCATGAATAACTGGTGAAGGGGGAGGAAAAATATATTAATGTTCTTTAAAATGCAAAAGAGAATTCATTACTGCATATACGCTGTCCGTGATTAATAAACACACTTTTTTGTAGGTCTTATATTAAAATATATATTCATTAACCTACATTAATATTTTAATAGAAATGGTTAGCTTACTTAAAATATCACAACAGTTATCATCAATCATAGCTTCTGATCAATGTTTGATATGCATTGAATTGAAATGGTCAGCTTAGTTTAAAATATCACAATTATCATCGATCGTGTGCCAAGTGTTCCAATAATTACTGATCAACGTTTCGTACGCACTGACATCATAGAAGAAATAAAACACCCACTGCAACAAAATCTGTTATAAAATTGGCAGCTGCGATTGCAAAATATGTACTATAATTTCAATAAACCAAAGAACATTCTTAATAGATGCATGTATACGTGCACAATATGCTTTATTGGATTGCATTTACTATTCGATACCATAAAAGATGCATCTGAATAAACTAACTCAAACTTAACTCACTCTATGAGTCATTATATGACTGACTGTCTAAACATTCATCCAAATTTTCAGCAGCATTGTAAATATTATACACTTACTTTCAGGCACACAAAACTCAGCGATATTATTATGATATGTATATACTCATATGTGATTTTACATGAGTAAATAGTACATCAACAATGATCAAATTTTATACTTTAGGACCAGAACTAGCTCCAAGCATGGGCAAGTTAAGTAGAAAGTGTCAGCTACGTTACTCTCACAAGTATATATTTCAAATTTTTAATATCTTTAATTTATATGGGACGTGAATTAACGATGATTGCTTAGAGGGCCAAAAATGGTGAAGCTGATACTGATTAGCAAGTAAAATGAATATTTTGATGATAATTTTATTCAAATAAAACATCTGAAACGATAATTTTTTTAAGATGAAAATACTTCTGCCTTTTGTCATTTCGACAAATACGTAAAAAAGATTTAGCTGATGCCTGATGTTTATATATATTTAGTATGATAAATTTTAAAAATGTCCCCAAGTAATGCTTGAACATTAAGGGATTAAGATGTATGTTGGTACCTTCTTGTGCAATATATTTTTATTTAGTCAGAATTTAATATCTTGTAATATTAAACACAGGCTATGACACAGTAATTACAGTTGCTTCAAATTACCTTTGCAAACATAAAGCAAATGCAGAAAGATACAGATGGACAAAGTGACTATAATAATAGTAATCATAATAACTGATTTTTTTAATAACTGATTCTTTATTACTGTGGAAAATGTCATCATGGACTGAATACAGACCATGAGCTCCGAGTTGGTCATTACTGATATACAGGGCGTTTCTAAATGAATATCGAGGATTTAACGCTTTGTAGTATTTATTACGTATAACTTAAAACCATAATTAATACATAACATGAAAGAGCAACTCAAACAGTTCTGTTTGTTGGTACACACATGCACCAGAAAGCGCTAGTAGCAAAAATGGCGACTAGTGAACAGAAAGCTTTCTGTGTTCTGCAGTTTGCAAAGACCGAATCTGTAGTAGACTAAATCTGCAACGTGCATTCCCGATTAAGTTCAGATGGGATTCCCAAGTCATAATAACTTCTGTAGATGGTATCATTAGTTTGAAAATACCGGCTGCCTTTGCAAAGGGAAGATAACTGGACGACCAAGGGTTTTCGACTTGATGTGTGCCGTGGGACAAAAGGTGCTCACATTGAACACCTGTAAGCTTTTAGTCTAACTGTTTGAGTTGCTCTTTCCTTTTATGTATTAATTATAATTCTAAGTTTTACGTAATAAATACTACAAAGCATTAAATCCTGATATTCATTTAGAAACACCCTGTATTTAAACAAGTACAGGTACTTGCGTATTATCACAACCACTTTAGTAAAAATCGCCAAAGTTTCAGAATGCACCAAATTCTGGTAACCATGTGCATGGTAATTCTTCAGTTTTAACAAGAAATGCCGCTATTTTCACATACATTCTTTCGTTGTATTCCACGTTTCTGTGGTTTTTATGGATAAAACATGACATTTTTTTGCCTTAAATTTGATTTTAAATCATTTTTTGCATTAAATTTGATTGATTTTTAAATTTGATTTAATCGATTTGATGCCTTAAATTTGATTTAATGCCAGCGGGATTTACCTACAATAGAAGAAAGCACAGTAAAATTTCTGCAGGAATATAGCATTTCACCACAGAATCACTGAAAGGACAATGCTTCAAATGTTTTCAGAGCGATCACCTCAAAATTTCCACCAGAAAAAAACAAACCCATTTGTAAGTACGTTCATTGATTTTTTTTTTTTTTTTTTTTGTAAGATAAATGCACAGTTGATATATAAAATATGTATGCAGTAATATGCATGTAACAAATATTTTGTTTTACAACAAAAAGTCCTTGTTCTGTTTCTCTTATAAATTCATCAAACTGTGCTAAGGTGTATGCTAATATCCAAGTACCCAATAAATTATTCACATACTATACTTTATTTTCATTATGGATATATACTTGCTAATTTTTATTTGTGTATAAAAGCAAAGTCAGAAACATTTGAAGATAGTTTCTTTAAACGTCTACCTTGTCTATAAAACAGATATTCAGTTTAAAACCTACCTTCTACTTTTTTTTTGGGGGGGGGGCATGTGATTAATTATTTTTAATTAAATATTCTATTTAAAACAGCACACAGACTAGATTTACTTAGGACACAGAAACAAGACTTCCTTATGATTATTTTCAGACAAGGTTCCTTATGATTATTTTCAAACTCAGTGCTTAAAGTATGCTTCAGAACTATACATTATTTTGTAATGAATAAAATTTATTTAACAAGATGTTTTTAAAAATAAATGATAGAATCCATATTTAAAATTAAATTACCGGTACAGTGATATTTTTATAACGAATGCAGATTTTTTGGTCAGATTACTTTTTTTTTAAAATAAAAACAATAAATGCACTGGCAACAAAATGTTGCTCAATGTTATCATTGAAATCAAGTTGAGCAAACATTGTTCACATGCAGAACTAAAAAATTTTCTTAAATATCAAATATTTTTAAAATATCCCAAAGGCACTTTCTCTCTCAACTGAAATTGATTATGCATTTAATTGAACTCATTAGAGCCTTGCATTGATTCACAATCAAACAATAACCTTGAAAGCCTGTTAAGCTTTAAAGATCAATTAGATAGTGTACACATACTAATAAAGCACATTATCTTAAAAGATGAATTCCAAAATACTATGTTAAACTTGTTTAACAAACATCTGAAAAAGCTCAGATTCACATTAAGTTGCTTATTCAGCAGAAGTCACCATCTACAGTAAAATGATCAAATTTCAGAACATGTTTCACAAATTACATAAAAAATGATAGAAAATAAAAATAATTTTCTCAAAATTTTGTCAAAATATAAATGCTAGTTACACACATGCACACACAATGTGTATGTATATATTGGTCTTTGTGAAAAATTTCTTACTTTACTTCTTTATGTATATATATATATATATATATATATATTATTATTTATAAATACAATTTAAAACTTTTTACATAGATAGGCTTCTTAATACCAGTTACACAGCATTAATTTATACAGTATTTATCACCTCAATTTGCATAATAATGCCATTTACTTTTAAAGAAAAAAATAATCTCAAGGATATAAGCTATAACAAGGAAACAAAATAGTTTAGATCGTAGGGTAATAAGGGAACAAAATATTTTAGAATGTAGGGTAATATATAGACAACAAGAAACAAATCTGAACACAAAACAATGTAACTTAAATAGTTACATTCATATGAATATAATTCAAATATATGCAACAGACAGAATGTTCAGTAACAGAATAACTTAATATTAGAAACAATACAAATATAATAAGATATTTAAATCCAATAATATTCATTATTTTACACAATAATAGTTCTTAACACTGACATCAAAAGTGCTGTCATTTTAATACTAGCATTTCCTATGCATATCGAAAAGAACATTAAAGCTATTTCTCATGCTTTGAATTGTACTAAAAATAAGCTTAATCTGAAGTAAAATATATTGTTAAGAATTTTGTACACAGATGGAAGATTTTAGTGCAGTTATATGTGAAATCGTATTTTTCTGCATAACGTAACATAAAAAAATCTAGACAGTACAAGCTATGCCGGAAAACTTGGTAATTTGACAAGATATCATCAAGCTGGCAACGGTTTGCTGCCAAATTTGGCAAATAACCAAATTGTCATTGAATAAATGCAATCGATCACTATATTAGGTGTAATTTCAATTAATAATAGCCTTCCAGTAATTTAAAGAAGCAGAAAGTACTAGAAATATCTTGGTGGCCAGGTGAAAACTATATAAGGCTGGAGACAGCATCTCTTCTCATTAGTTGTTGCTGTTAACTGTTATCCCAGCACGAGTTCCGGGTACTGTTTCCAGTTTAGCTTCAGTCTTTAGCCGCGCTTTACATTGTGTTGTATTTAATGTTCATAGTAGTGTGAAGTGCAACTATTGATCATACTCTGTGATATGCTGATGAGTTGCATGACTATTTTTTCCGGAAAGTTCCAGATTCCTGAAGTGTTTCGTTCAATAAAATAAATTTTATCAACCTATCATCAGAGCTGTGTGAATTCAATCTGTTATGAACCTGTACGCACGCAACAATATTTTTACAACTCTACAATTATGACTTAGCTTTAATTAGACAAAAAACAACTTAACTAGCTCTTTATTTTGAGATGTCCTTCTTAAGCTAAAAATTTTAGATATGAAAACTTTATGAACAGCGTGACACGGAAAATTATTATTCAAATACAAGCTCTTGCTCAATGAATAAAAACACACAACATTAAAACAAAGCAAAAACTTGATATTTGAACTTCGCAGTTGTGCTCAATTTCTTGATGCCTCATATAAAAAAAGAAAAAAATATGAATTGCCTGACAAATCCTCTCTTTTTTTTTGAATGCATGTTTTAATAGATGAACTTTGTTTAAACATGCATCTATCTATTTAACCATATTAGATTCTACATAAAGATAGTTAATACCTTTGCAAATTCTTAATAAAAATAATTATACTTTTTCTTAACCTGAACCCATACTAGTTAAAAAGAAAGTCTGAAATATCAAAACAAATTTACATAAAAACACAGCATAACACTATGACCTAAATAGCAGGTACTCTTAAAAAATGAGATGATTTATAACATTTGGGCCATATATAGCATTTAACTCAAAAGAAATTACTACAAAAATAAATGCATAAAAACATTTATACTTGAAAAAGTCTATAAAAGATATGCCCTTTTAAGCACACAATACAATACACAAGAAAAATGTAAATACTGGCTGATAAAAGAAGTTAATGCACACTGATACAGCAAACATCTAATTTCTTGATTCAGAGTGCAAAGACTAGGGAAAAGAACATACATATCATTCCTTTTTGGGTTTTGGCATTGCTGATGGCACAACTTTAGATACCACAGTTTGTGTTGCTGAAACTACTCCAGTGCCAACAGTGTAAGTTGTTGAAGCAGCCCATTTCACGCTTCCGACACCTAATCCGACAGCTCCGGAGCCAATGTTGTATAACTGGGATGACATTCGCCATATTAATCCCGGTTGCACTTCTTCAGGTGCGTTATCTAGACAGAAGGGAAAATTATATATATCTAAAACAAACAGGAAATATATGTGTATTCATTTTGTAGAGACATTAGGTATTTTGAAGAAGACATGAAAAATGTGCAATGCCCTCGCTGGGACTCAAGCCTGGACCTCTCAAATACGCGTCGAGTGTGCTAACTGTTACACTACGAAGGTAACCAGAAATGAGGGAGAAAATAAGAGTGTGCTATTGTTGCACCACAAAGGCAAGCAGAAGTGAAGGAGAAAATACCTTACATACTTCCCCTTTTAAAGAGCAACAGGGGATTAGGGAACTCAATTGCCAAATCCTGAAGGTGAAGAGTTATCACCACCTTTTAGTTCAGGCACCACTGTCCGTCATTAGGTTCAACAGTCAGGAGGATATTTTTGATTTTTACTTTTGTGAATTTATGTGGCGATGGCAGTATACAGAATCTAGTCCAAATAATTTTAAAAAGTTTTTGGATGCTGTTAAGGAATTCTGTATGCGACACACTGAGGACACATACATTTCTAAATAAGGCAAGTCGATATTTTCTTTTTGTACTGTGCAGATTAGATAACATGTATTTCCATTTTTATTTCCTTGTTTTATTTTGATTTAAAATGCAGTTTATCGAGATTATAATGTTTTATATTTTTATTATGTTTTGGACATTATTTTACTTAAAAGGGTGTTGCATGTAAACAAGAATGGCGAAAAAAAAGTCGGCAATTTTCGTACATTGAAATACATTTTCCCCCAGAATAGCAATTAGAAAAAATTAAGAACACTCTTTGTAAAAGTACAGATATTTATTATGAAGAAGTAAATAAATGAACTTCAGCAAATGAAGTAAAACTAAAACTGTACATTTTCAGGTTCATTTTCTTAATACGATATGACAAAATTTATTCCAGTAACAGTTCAAATATTTTATTCTTTACCAAAATCTTTTTAAACAAACGCTTATCTAAGATAATAACAAAAATAAATATCAAACATCAAGTGCTAAATTCTTTCCAAAAAGATTGTGGCACTCAAAAGTATAACGGTGGCACATGACAAATGGAATTCTGACACTGCATTATTTTTTTAATAAATGCTTCAATTGGATATTAATAAAAATAATTTTTCCCAAGTTCTGACTTAGACTTAATAGATTAGGTTATGATTCGGAAAACTCGAATGCCTAAAAAAGAGCACAGATACGATTTTTAAATTGTACCCCTTTAAGATTTACTCTACAGTCCCCCTTAACAAATCGCCTCTTTTTTTACACCAACATCGGCACCAATTTTAAGATGGTGTCGATCCTTCCACCCATTACAAAAAACCACAACAAGATGTCAAAGACTTACACAAACTCGGTGTCCATGTACACATCGACCTATTTTAACTTAAAAAAAAAAAAAAAAAAAATCAGTGAAATGCACAAACTAGGCATTGTGCACTGCCTTAACTTTGTTCATGTACACATCGACCTATTTTCACTTAAACAAAATCAGGAAGATAAAACAAAATTAAAACTATCATGTTAGCCAGAAAAAAATTGCCACTTTCTTAACATACAGAGATGAACAAATAACCAAAAATACACAAACAGAGAGTAATAAATAACCAAAAATACATATTTCCTAACATAAAAACATTAAACAACAAATTCTAATACACAGAGACGAATAAATAAATGAAACGTCAATTTTTTAACATAACTTTTTTTCATGTGCATAAGTTCATGCTTCCCACCACCATCTCCTTCATCCTCCACATAAGCAATTCAATTAAATTTCTGGTTGCTTCAGCTCATCCGTTGTTAATCAACATTCATCCTCTTACCCATCTTGGACATACTCAAATGATGATACCCACAGCAAAATAACAGCAAGTTCAAAATCCAAGACCATACCACGTACGTGCAAGCAAACACAACAACTGAAAACCAAACCCGGGTCTTGCACTCAAATAACGAAAATCTACTGACCTGAAATCCGTGTTGCCTCTCAAAATATAAACAATTAGTTTATAGGTTCCAGAAAACACAACAGAGTACAAAATATCGAAGAAAAATACTTACGGGATAATGACGTCATAATTACTGAATAATAATAAATCATAATGGAAATACCAAATTATTGACATCATGATAAGTTTTTCCCCCTCCAATCTGCATCAAGGTAAAAAAGCAGACGATTAACTCACCTCTTCTTTCAAGTTCACGCTTCACGTTGTTGTACTTCTGAGCTTTGTTATTTCACGAGATTGTTTAGTGATGTCGTTTTTTTTTTATACAGATATTTTGTGGATAAATTAAGAATATTTTAAATTTCAGTGCTTTTTAACACAATGACAGATAAGAAATGCACTCGTGATTTTACTGCTTGCAACGTTGAAAACGTAAACACGTTGCATTGACGGTAATGAAAAAAGTGGAAATTCTGCTAAAGATGGAGGCAGGTGCTTGGTTTATAGCAGAATTGTATGGAATTGCCACATGGACTGTGTATGATATATGAAATGATAAAGAAAAGCTGTTGAAATTTTACAGCATCAGTGATTCTAACACCGGAAATCTTTACATGAGGCGAAATCGGCAAACCTCAATGCTGTCTTGTACGAGCGGTTTATGGCAGCGGGAGGAGTGATGGCGTACCTATTTCAGGACTACACCTGAAAGAAAAAGGGAAGCAGATTCATGCTGATTTAAAAATAGGACCCTAATGTAAATGAACAATATAATATAATCAGTTTATATATATAATAATAATTTAATGCATATAATTAATTATTGTATTAATTTTATATATTAATTTAATTATAACTTATTTCCTAAACAATATTGATTAATTGACTATATTTAATTAAATGTATTTAATACGCCTTACTTATTTTGCACTTCTAGTCTGAATATTATCTTTTCTGTCCTGAAATCCGCACAACCTCTGGTCCCAAGTGTTACAAATTTCTGAACTTCTACTGTATTACAAAAAATAGCCAAAATCTAAATTTATCACAACACATTTGGCAATAATCGCAGAAATAGCCCCTTTTTAATGACAAAAACTAAAAATCTAACACAATTTTCACCAAGGGTAGTTTCGTCAACATTAGGATTACCGAAAAACCTATTTCATGCGGCGGACTTCCAATTTCACAAACAACCAATACCACTTGGCGATAGAAACCAAAGAGTACTGTCCAGTAAAAATCAACCAATACTTTTTCTCAAGTTCTGACTTATGTCTAATAGATTAGGTTACGATTCAGAAAACTCGAATGCCTAAAAAAGCGCATAGATACGATTTTTAAATTGTACACATTTTTTTCAAGATTTGTGGATCCTTGAGGACTGAATGTCTTGTCTCTAATACCAGATTAACACATTAATTAAAAAAATATCTTTGATCTGAAATTTGCCACCGGTTAAAAACCCATATTAGTGTAGATCATATCACTATTCAACCAAACACTCACACTAGAAAGAGGTTTGAATTCCAGAATCAGGGCAAAGCGAGCTTAAGGAATGGGATGGGGCATAAATATGAAAATACAAAAGCAGATTTATTTCTCTGTAATTGAAAAAATAGCTCTATGCAGAGCAGCAGTTTGGGCAAACCCAACGTCTTCCCATAAAGTGAGAAAATTCCAAACAATTCAACGACCTTCTCAATTACACTAGAGGATATAGGACAACATCGATTGCTGCATTGTGCCAGACTGCTAAAATTTCTTCTCTCTTCATAGCAGCAGAAAGAGAGTACATAAAAGGAGCTGTACCACACTTAAGAAAGAATTGCACCCATAACTGGAATGTGGAAAGAGATGTGCGCTAAAAGTATATCTCAGCAGCCAGTCGACAGAAGAGAAAAAATGTCGACTAAATATAGAAAATAGTGTTTTCCAAGCAGAAGCAATCAAAATATTAGAAGCCATCAAATACGGTATTCACCACTCCTTTAAAACCTCCTATCTTTTTATAGATAGCTTATCCATCATGCACGCAATAGCCTCTCCAATGGATGGGATCTCCAATAATCCAGGAAATCCTCAACACTGGCTCTAACACAACCAAAGAGCATTTCACAATATCATGGATCAAAGCACACATTGGCAGCAAAGGAGATGAGGAAGTGGATGCCCTAGCAAAAAAAGCAGCTAAAGGTATAAATGCAACGAAACTAACCATTCCATGGCGAAGCTCCCACCTCAAGATGCAACTCAAACATACTTTTAAAAAAGCATGGCAACACTGGTGGGATTCTGCTGAATAGGGCAAGTGACATAGGACACGAGCACTGTCCCTCTACCATAGTCGTTAATTGGTATAGCACCACGTCCCCCTTGTCTAGAGCACCCCAAGATGAGGAAGGATGAGGGGCCACACAACCCCACCCCTCACACAAGTCACAGGTGTACGTATGACCTATATCCAAGAATATCACGGGTCACAGCCCTTTCTCCACATATTTCTACAAGAGAATCTCACACATTCAGATCTAAGCATTTGTGGGGAGAGGGGTGATCCAGAACATTACCTATTCACACACATCATAAGAACAAGTCTGCACCTGAGAAGACCAAGACTAAAACAAGATGTGAATCCGTATGTAAAATGTGCAATCAGTAATAGCAATATGCAAATTTGCATAAGCCAAATAATGGATACTCTGGCACCAAGGGATCAAGAACTCAGCAAGACAGAATGATCCGACTCAAATCATCGTGCAAAGAAAAGCCCCCAATGATTCTTGCTTGAATTTCTAGCTGAAAACGGTCCCAACAAATAATGAAAGTATTTCAAATTACGTCCAGTCTCCATATAAATGGTGTGAAGCACCTATGTACACCAGCAAATCAACGAATCAATATGAGTAAATCATAAATGCTCCAAAAATTAAAAGTGCTCAACAATAACCAACGGGTGTAAAGGAACTAAGTACATGAATCGTACCTATAAGTGATGAATGGCAAGAATGATGAACATGCAATTAAGTACTCCACCAGACAAAATAAATCTGGGCTTATGGAATGGACAATTGGTGACCCTGCCAGCAGTAGCAGAGCCTGCAATGTCAGTTGCACCAGACAACAGCAGCACCTTGCCACCAGAATCCCATGCACGTTTACTTCAACTAAAACGTATACCAAATTCCTACAAACATAAAATTCACAAAATAACTATCATTTAATTAAAATATCACTAAACCATGTACACATCGACTTATTTTTACTTAAAAAAAAAAAAATCCCAGAATTGCACAAAAATGGCATTGCGCACACTCTTCACCATATCCATGTACACTCCTTTTTTCTCATAAATTAGAAAAATTTCACGAAAATGCATGACAATTTTCTGAATCTTTAAACCCGTTAAAAAGAACATATATGAAATTACCTAATAACAAATAAGTATATACCCTTTCCAAATATGAACATTTCCACGTATAAAATAAATAAAATATCCAAAAACTTTTACCTCTAAATCATCTATTATATTATAAACGTCACCAACGAATTCATACCGCAAGCATTACAAATACTTAGTGTCAAATATTTAAATTATTTCCATGCACGTTTACTTCAACTAAAACGTATACCAAATTCCTACAAACATAAAATTCACAAAATAACTATCATTTAATTAAAATATCACTAAACCATGTACACGTCGACTTATTTTTACTTAAAAAAAATCCCAGAATTGCACAAAAATGGCATTGCGCACACTCTTCACTATACCCATGTACACTGCTTTTTTCTCATAAATTAGAAAAATTTCACGAAAAGGCATAACAATTTCTGAATCTCTAAACCCAGTAAAAAGAACATATATGAAATTACCTGATCGCGAAAAAAGTATATACCCTTTCCAAATATGAACATTTCCCCATATAAAATAAATAAAATATCCAAAAACTTTTACCTCTACATTATCTATTATATTACAAACGTCACTAACTAATTCATACCGCAAACATTACAAATGGTTACAAATACTTAGTGTCAAATATTTAAATTATTTCCATGCACGTTTACGCAAATTACTTTACTTCTTCCACCTTACATTTAGAACAATGCATAAAATAATATCCTCAAATAATTAAAAATACTAACTTACCTATTCTTCTTCACAATCTTGATTACGTGTCCGATAAACTTTTCTTATTTCTGTTTCAGGATCTTTAAAATCATACTTATAGTTAGTTCACAGCAAGGTACCAGGTAAAATAAATAACTTAATAAAACATCTTTACTTCTTCTATCTCGCACAACCTTAAAGAAACACTTATTATTACCCCCCTTTCAATCTCACTAAATACCCATTTCGAATTCACACTTTAGTTAGGGCCATGGGATCCAAAAATTAACGAACACTGTTTCACACAACACAGAATAAAGCCAAATACAAAATTTCCAGATTTTTTCCCGATTTACCCCCTTTTACGATTAAAAAACCGTAATTCGTCCATTAATATCACATGACATATCCCATTTCCCTCACACAAAATAATGCGTAATCGGAACTGAGTACTGCTCACATTATTACCAAAGTCCCAGGTAGTAACCTTTATCGCCTCCAAAATGTCGCCAAACTACCAGTTACCATATTCTAAAGATCAGCCTCAACGATCTTATACAGTGTAATAAGCTATACATTTATACAGCGAAAACCTGAACAAGAGGCCAAAACTTTAGGGGGTGAGATAGAAGGCAATATCAGCAATATTCGTCATAGAATGTAAGATCGGAACTCAAACGGCAAGCCACTAGGTCGCACTGTAAATAAATGGCATAAAATTGTTCAGTCCTCTGACCCCTACATTTTCTACTGTGGACTGCCAACAGGATTGCTGGTTATACGAACCGCATAATTTCCAGGGCGATGGATTGGTAAAGGTGGCCTCCATAGCTTGGCCGCCAAGATCACCGGATCTCTCCTGTTTGGATTTTCCCCGTGGGCCTAATCTACGAGTGCCCCATTGAAATCAATACGGATGTTGTTGCCGGAATCACCGTTTTTGCCGGCGATATTCGGGAAATGCCTGGTGTATTCGCAAATGTGCGTCAGTCCCCCTCCCGCAGGTGTGAAGTCTGCATTACAGCTGGCCAAAGGTCTTTTGAGCAATTCTATAAGCATGTTCTGTTAATAAAATATTTCCTGAAGTATCTCCTTTCATTCTTGTGTTAATTCTTTAAAGATGACAGTGGAAAATTAGCCTGTAATTTCTCACCGCTTGCTTTCCAACCATACATTATATGACAATTATTGCCATCACCCCCTAAAGTTTTGCCTTCTTGTTCAGATTCACCCTATATAGTTGCCTACATATGAGCCAATACAGCATATACAAGCTATTTTTGTAGGAAAAACTGCAATACAATACTATAATGTAAAATGTTGTCTGACTTGTAAAAAGCTTTACTACATTAAAAATTAACGCCAAATTTTCAGTTGGATAGAAACCAAAAATATAAAATAGATACTTTAGTATGCAAGATTATGTTCTTTAAAATGTACTGTCAATGAAAATCAACTCTCTCTATATATATATCACAGACACCTACATACAAAATCTCATATATATAACATACTGATGAAATATTTAGATATGTAACACACAGATGAAATATTTACCTGACGAAGAACCACTTTTATCCCTATCTGGTGAGCTATCTTTTCCATCCTCGATTTCAGACTGTAAAAAGTTTTTTTTTTTTTTTTTTTACTATAAAATATCTATAACAATACAGAAAAGGACACACACACAAAGTTTAAGAAACAGATGGCAAAGTTTTATTAATTACAACTTGATAGAAAACAAAGCTGTAACGTCTACAAATACTTCACAAAAAGTGTTTCATATGACAGTTTTCATATTATAGAACAGATATTTCATTTATGCCAAATTTTGTGGGAAAAAAATTATAATACAGAACTTTAACGTTATCAATCTTTCAGACTCATTAAATTTTGAGTAAACATATAACACACTTTGTTAATATTGCTTACTTTTTTCAGGCAAGAAATGATGGGCTGAAGAACTTTCGCCATAGCTATCAAAACTTTCACTTAAAAGGAAAATTTATGCAAAAGTTACCCGAAGTGCATCACATATATTTCCTAAACAGAATATCAAAAACTCTGCGATATTCTACTTGATACTTGTAGCAAGAGTCCAAAGCGCAGTTTCTCAGAAAATATTTCATACGTGGTCAACTAAACGTAAACAATTGCTGAGTTGGCACGCTTTTATCATATATCGCCAATTGCTGACTATGGGCAAAACTAAATTTGGCGATCATTAATTATATGAAATGATGCAAAACATCGTAACCGTTTTAAATTAAATTCATATTTATTATCTATTTGATAAAGAAACCAAAAAAGTCATTTTCCAAATATAAATATGAAACATCTAGTAAAAATGTTTACATTTCCTCCTGGCAATAAAAAATAGTGAAAAACCTTCTTTGCTGCCAATTTCGGCGATAACTTTATGATTTCAGTCTGTTTCCAGAAAGTTCAGCTGTGTCGATTTCTGGAGATAAAAACTCTCGAGACAAAACAGCTGGCAACCTCGTGGTGATGTTCTCAGAGTTCAAAGAAACAAAGACTTCTAGTATCGTTTTAAAATAAGTGGTTTAATTTTACATCTTGATTTAAGTTTGCTCGAAGTGTCGCTTTTGCTGTTAGGTGAGACGGACTTTTCGAGCGCACAGTTATCTGTCTGTCGAATAGTTAAATAGTGCTAAGCTTTTCACACGAACGGACAGAATACGAAACTGAAAATGAGGTCACGGGATTTATAAAAATAAATTTCGAGAAAATTTGTAGAATTTGATGAATAAGTTCTAATATAAGACAACACTGCTTCAGAAAAATAAGACAAACAATAACATAAATATAATATATATAGTTCATCCGTGGATGAACTGTTTGTTATAATTAAATACTTTAGAATGGTTTATCAGCTAATTTTGGATATAGAAATGCAGTGTTTTCAAGTGGAAGAAGTTGCAGTGGAAAATTAATTTAATTAACTATTTATACATTAGATCTTAATGCCTCCAGCCACCTGCTTGCGTAGCCCGACAATTTATTTGATGTTGTCTGAAATAGATACAGCTCTTCTGATTTGCATCTTATGAAATCTGTCATAGTCTCTGTATTATATAAAATTTGAAAAGCTCTAAAAAATTCAGATTGCAAGTGTGCAGGAAAAAATTTCTGAAAGTACGATCGGGTGTAGCTCTGCAGAATATTCCCGCAGAATGAATAATCAGAATTCAGTTTAATCCCTCATAGTTACCCAATTTATACTCTCCTACACGTGAAGAAAATAATATACATAATAAAAGCTCTTATAAGCTTGCTTTTGCATTTACAACTGAATATTTCAGTCCTCTTAAATAAAGTATATGCAAAATAGGAAATTCTATCTCAAAATTTAATACGCACCTGGCATCATTCTATCATTGTGCTATATTTCAGAGTAGAGATTGCATGGTGACGTCATATTTACATGATTGTAATAACGTTAATAGTGTTGTGTATGAGAGATTTTTACTATGAAACTTAGTTTTAAGAGTGTTGCTTTGGTTGTTGAGTAAAAGACTTTTGATGAATATTTGCCGTTAGGCTAGTGTAGAAAATGGACATAGATAGAGATTTTGATGCAAGTTTACTGCAGCAGTTTAGCTGTCTTGGAACGACAGATAGGGATGTTCTCATATCCCAGCTGCAGAAACTTTTAGGCGATCAGTTAAATCCTGCAGGATGTGCTTTTTTCTTGGATATGAATAACTGGTATAATGATTTATTTTTATAATAATTTTTGTGCATTTTGTTAATTATTCAGCCATATATATATATATATTGAAAGCGTAACAGCGTAGTGACATGAAATTCAGTACAATTTATTTGTGTTAATTGACATGATATTTATTCACTTGACAGTATTTCACTTGAACGCTAACTTATTTTTGAAATATAATGACTTGGTGCAGTATTGTATGAACGTGAAATGACATATGAACACACATGAAGTGACATATAAAGTGATTACGTTTAAAGAACAATGCAAATTCTATCGGTGGTGTATTACATAAATTATTTTCTTTACTGCATAAAAATTGTATTAAGTGTATTTTACGGGGATTTTGTAATTCATTTAGTATTGCAAATAGATTGATAAGTTTTAATTTTCGTTGAAATTAACATGCGTGTGATAAATCTGAATGTGTATCTAAAATTGGTATGCGAAAGTATTTTCTTTGAGGAACATATTATCATTGTTCAGAATCATTTTAAATTATTAGAAATGAGCATTAAATTGGCAGTTTATTCAGGCTCCTTTCTTGGATGATGATAGTGCAGTATTTGTTGTAATTGGGAAGTTGTGATGACATACTAAATATACTGAAATAAATATAACCATAGTAAAATTTGTAAACCTTGTATTAAGGTATAACTTGTATGTACTAGAGAAGTTTAATGTATTGTTCTGATTTGCCTATAAATATTTATTGGGTAATGTGGTTTACATATTTCTTTTTTTTTTTTTTTTGTTTTTTTTGGTAAAAGTATATTTACTGGTAACCTTTGACAATTTTTGGCGGTACATGGATATGACGTTTGTGCAATTATTTGACTAGACATTGTGCACTCCCTTGACTTTATCCATGTACATGTAGACCTATTTTCACTTTAAAAAATGTCATCAGAGAATTGCACAAGCTTGGCATTGTGCAATTCTCTGATTCTTCTCTCTTGACTTTGCCCATTTACACATCAATATATTTTCACTTAAAAAGTCGAAGGAGCACCCAGTTCTAGGTAAAAGTATATTTATGCAACATTCAACTACTTAGGTTACCATAAACAAAACAACTTGGTGATAAATGAAACAACTTCACGATAATACAAGGCATACCTTTCAGTCCACTTTAACCATTTTTTTTTAATATATAGATTTTCACATTTGCTTTTGGACACTTGTATTTTTAAAATTCATTTGCATATATTTTATACTAAATATTGAAACAGATTTCACATTTTTTCCTAATATACTATTTTTTTTCTCTATTTCTCACCTTGCTTTTTGCAAAATAAATGTCATCAAAACATTTACAGTAAAATAATTTGTTAAAAAAGTGCTAACCAATAACTCATAATAATTGGGATACTTCAGATTTTTGCCAAGATGTGTTGGTATACTGTGTTTCTTGCAATTTTTGTTTTAAATGAAAATATATTATTTCTCTATCAGAAGTGAACATGGCAAGATTCTGCAAAATAATGACCAGTTCTGTTAGAAATTTAATAATTCATTTCTTCAAAGATAGTAAAAGTATTCAAAATATCTAAAAAATTCTTCATATGAAACCTTTAACTGTTGTTGAGGTTATATAACGATGGAAATTGCATGGAAGCATTATCTGGATCATCATGCTCCAAGCTAACACTAAGGAATCGCAGATTTATTCTACGAAAAATCAAGCAAGAATAAATTAGCAGTGTAAAAACTCGCAGCAGATTTCGAAGAACAGTTTATAATAAAATTAACTCTGAAGGTTTTTAGAAGAATCGTTTAGGACATCAGTGAGTGAGTGATCAGGAAAAGTAAAATTCTTTGTCTACAGGAAAATAAGGAAAATGCATTTGGCGTTCATGAGCAAAGTTTTGTCGTATTTGAGCAATTGTATATTTACAGAAAAGTCAAAATTTAATTTATTTGGGGCAGGTGGTGTATTACTAAATTAGCATATGGCAAAAGCCGAATTAAGAATTAAAATTGAGAAATTTGTTGTCTACTGTTACCTATGGGGTTATAGGCAAAATAGTTTTCGGAATGTTGTCCTACCTTTGGAATAAGAATGAGTGTTTGTCACAATAATATGGAGTTATATAAATATTCCTAATGAAAAACTAAAAGCATCTGAAAGTAACAAATGCAAATGAATGCCAAATATATTCAAGTTCGTATGTCGAATCTGAATATCAAATACATTCAAGTTCTGTGAAGATAATGATCCCAAACATACAGCCAAAAGCATTCGCTTTATTATCCAAATGTCTTAAAATTACAAAAACTCCTAATTATTTTTTTAACTTAAGTTCTATAGAACATGCAAGAAGTGAATTTTAGAAAGAAGAAAACATAGTATATCTTCAAAAGTGCATGCCAAAGCACATGAAAGTATCATTTTAACTAAAATATATCCAATAAAATATTGAATATTCTGTAACTATCATGTTTTTATTAAAAAATTAATTATTTAAAGTGTCCAAATACATATAGAAGTTCATTTCGGAACTTTTTAAATAAATTAATTTTTTTATCCAAAAATGTTTGAATAATGGCAGTAAAAATATATTTACAGGTGCCCCTTGGCGATAATTGGTGATTTTTGGTGGTACATAGACAAAGTTTGTGCAATGACTTCTTCTTTTGGCTTGTGTAGCGGCAACTTTTGCACCAAAAAAATCGCTGCTACTCAAATCCAAAATAACAAGTAAAAGAATTGCACAAACTTGGTATCCATGTAAACATCGGCCTACTTTCACTTAAAAAAATCAGAGAATTGCACAAATTGGGCATTGCGCATCCCCTTAACTTTGTCCATGTACACCTCTATCTATTTTTACTTAAAAAGTCAAAGAAGCAGTCAACAAAAAATATATAATCTTAATAAATTACATCTTAAATAAAACAATGAAATAACATAAAAAAGGAAATTCATCTTAACCTTACACAAAGGAAATATCCACTTACCTTATTTACGTGTTTTCAGTCAAACAAAATTCCTTAACGGCATCTAAAAACTTCCTAAAATTATCTGAACTAGAATCTGTATACTGTTGTCACCACGTAAATTCGCAAAAATAGGAGTAAAAAATATCTTCCGTAGTGCAGGTATCCTCCAACGTTTGAATCATGCGCATTTCCTTCCTAAACACACGACACTTCCTAAAAACACAACGGCAACTAAGTAAACCTTCATTTACATACCAGTCAATTGATGTTTATTTTTCTTTTCTTTCCAAATCTTATAGAAACTTCAAATTAATCTTAAAACATTCAACCATTTTATAATGTAAACCATAAAATAACAGTGTACTTCTTGTCCTAAATCCGTCCCATCATTCAAATTGACCGCAATCACGCAACCAATTCCATCATGATAGGGTTTTCATAACATTAAACTACTCAGGTTGCCATAAATGAAAGACCAACTTTGTGAGAAATGAAACAACTTGGCGATAATCAAAGGGACGACTCTAGTGTAGAATTGGGTGCCCCTTTGATTAGTGACAATTTTTTTTTTTTTTTTAAATTATGGTGATGAAACCTCATTTCTGGTTACCATGATAGTTTTAACTTCCTGATTTTTTTCTATGAAAATAGATTGATGTGTACATAGATAAATTTAAGGCAGTGTGCAGTGCCTAGTTTGTGCAATTCTGGGATATTTTTTTTAAGGGAAAACAGATCGATGTGTACGTGGCCACAGAGTTTGTGCAAGTCTTTGAATTTTTATTTTGGTTTTTGTGTTGCAGCCATCTTGAAATTGTGCCTTCTTGGCGTCAAAAAAGAATCGCAAAAAAACAAGGGGCACCCAGTTATAAACTTTTACTCAAATGGTACCCTTCAATCTACTTTAATCATAATGGCTTTCGAAACAAACAGGTTTTTAAACTAGATGATCAATAGTATATCCAGGAGGAAAACTTTTCGTTTTCTTATATTTAGTGACTGATATTTGCAAATTTTCTTATGTTTAATGACTTGATATATTTAGTGACTTGATATTTGCAAAATACAAGTGTCTGAAAACAAGTGCTACCCACTGTGTTTACAAAAGGAAACTGAGAAATATAAATTTATGCTTAAGTAGCATTATTATAGCATGTAAAAACATCAAGTAAAAAACACATTTTTGTTATAACAGGAGCTGATTTTTGTTAAAGTGAATGGATGTGTGAGATGTGATTATTTCAAATTGAAGAAAATTATCAAAAAAAAAGTTTATTAAATAATACTGAAGATTACATGTCTTCTTAAATTACATTTTATTACAGTCTAATAAATCATTGCATACTTAGAATCTATTGTTTACTTACTGTTTATTATTGTTCCTGGTAAACTAATTAGTTGTTAGTAATATTTTATAAGAATTATTTTGTTATAAAATGTGAAATGTTATACTTTAAAATACTATTGAGTTAAAATATAGACTATTTTACATTATCACCAATTTATCATTGTAATGTTACATTTCTATTAATGGGGTCTCATACACAGCACAAGATGTGGTATCCTGTTTATATTGCATCATGAAGAGCTGTGCAGTGTTTAATGTATGTAAACACTGCACAGCTCTTCACAGTGTTTAATGTATGTAAAGCCAAATTTGCGGAATGATGCTAATTAAAGGGGGGGAAGCATGGATGAAATTTACTCTAAGGTACCCCTTGGTGAATCGTCTCTTTTTTGATGCGAAGATCAACATCTGGAAGGATCGGCGGTGAATCTTCGGATTGTAGTAACTTGGCGATTTTTTGGCAAAAATTTGGCGAGCAACCCTGCTACAGAAACGTGCTAGTTTTTTTTTCGGGGAGGGGGGACGCCATTTTGTTTTTACGAAGTAAAGGCATTTTTTTTATTCAACATTTTTTCCAACAATCTGCTAGCCGAATTACGCTTACTCAAGTGACTTCAGCAAACCAGGTACCCATCCTTACATTCCGTTTCACAAAATGTTCATTTTCACCAGATTTCTTGCACCGCCATTCAAACTTATCTG